TCTTTTCAGTGCAATGATCTGTAAAACTAGCAGCCCGATCCTGTACCTGTTAGACTGCATAGACACTCAGGTCTGATCATGATGGGAAGTATTCAGTATTTTCAGTTCCCAGTGAAGTCAGTAACAGCCAAGGGGACTGAAACAAGTCTGTGAATACCTTACAAGACCAGACCTGATATTGCCAATGACTATATTCTGCACATGGGTTCCAAATCCATAACAAAATCAGAAAGACATTTGTTTGAGATATTTATAGAGCATCTGTTTGACTAACCATCTGTGCTCCAACTGAAGTATACACATGGTCCAGACTGAATAAAAAACAATTCTATGGATTAAAATAGTAATTTTGACATCTAAAGATTTTACTGCTAATGACTTTGTTGACCTGTTTACATGTAAAGGTAAATTTTAAAACTGTAAAATCTGAAAGGTAGCATGAAGAAAGATTGTGACTGTCTACTTCAAAAGGCTTTGAAGGTAAGGGATGCTGTTTGAATGCTGCATGCCTTTCAAAACTACTGCTTGCTGAGGGTGTGGATTAAGCTAGCTGTCTTCCTCAGTTTCTGAGTAGCTGTCAGGTTTCTTTGCAAGTGTAAAGGTAAGAACATGCAAAAGTATTTTGCCGTGTTTTCAATTGTCTCGTATTTCTCTTTCAAAATGAGATTCATTCCTTTTTTTGTGGTTCATGGTGTTCAGTACAAATATTAGCAAAACATTAGAAAAGTAGTCAACTATAGCTTGGAGTTAATTGTACCGAGAAACGTCACTGTATTCATTCAAGTTTGCTTCATTCATCAAGATTATCTTTTTCATGGATCAGTATGTTTCAGATGTTCAAAATGCTGAGATTAGGAATCATAATGAAAAGATGAAAAGCCCTAGGCTATAATAGGATTGATTCAATATATATACACATAATGGTCACTTATTATTTATTGAAATTGCTCCTTAAAAATGATTATTGAACAGCAAGTTTTTGGAAGCTGGTTATGCTTGTTCAGGATAGTAGGAAGTTGAAGTTTCTGATATTGTTTCACAAGATTAATTTTCTTTAGCGATAACCTGGGGAATTCTTTAAATTACCTCTTCTTAGTTGATGTAGCACTATCTGCCACATCTGCAAAGATGATAATTATTTTTAGGAGCAGCTGTGGTTTTTTGATTAAGTCTTGAGTCATCAAGGTCAGCATTTTTGAATTATTCATTGTAGGGAAACAGAAACAATTGGTTTGCATTTTGGTCAATAATAAACGATGTACTGTTATTACAGTTAGGGCCATAAACCTCATAGCTTTTTACTACAGTCCTTCCAAGAAATTTGCATACTTTGTGAGATCATTTAGCTTTGTAGGAAAAAAGTATCAGTCATAATTTATGAATCAGAAAGACGGCACCTGCTGACAAATAAGTGACTGTGGAGACTCTTCTGTTAATGGAAATATTAAAGTGAAAATGGTGTACCTCTTAACACTGGGTCATGGGTCCAGGTTTCCAGCTTCAGTTTCAAAAGCTGAATTGTAAATTGGGATCTCTCACACCAAAGGAAAAATCCACAAATGAACAATCCTTTAAGAGCGATTCCTTGTTATGCCTGTGGCCTTCCATGATAGCCCTAAATCAGATAAGCACATCTCAGTCAGATGAGCATTCTCCATCACATAATAAATAAGGGGAGCCAAGCAAAGGTGAGAATTGGGACCTGATATCTTCAACAGCTTGCTTTCTCTTGTAGCAAAAAGGCTCCAATCTGTCAGATGCCTTGAAAGACTAGTGCTTTATGTAAACTCTTAATGTGAAGTAACGAGCTATCATTTGATGATCAGATAGCTGTATCTCTGCAGCACTTTCTTTCAGCTTCCTGCTGTTGAGGAACTAATGAGAACAGGCAGCTTCTCAAAGACAGAATAGTTGGGTTTTTTTTTTCCCCCTGGGGAGTTAATGAAAAGTACGTTTATCTTACTGGCTTTGCTACAGAGCAAAGGTGGCAGAGTTGTATGGCCTGAGGAGGGTCTCTTAAGAAATCACATATGTGTTGAAAATTAAAGCTTAGAAAGAGGGCCCACAGGATAAAGAAAGAGAAGAGGAAACTGGTCTGTGAGATAAGATAATTGAAAAAGAGATGTTGAAAAGCCAAACCTATGTTCTGTGTTGAAAGAAATACCTGTGAATCTGAAGGTATATAGGCAGAACCTCGTACACTGCACCTTGCTGAGTTATGGAAGACTCAGGTTTGTGACACTGGATGCCCAACCTGAAGAAGCTCAACTAGATGCTCATTTTTCCATCAGTTAGTATGCACTGCTACATATCTACTTTGCTTGATACCTGGAGGTGTTCATGTAGCTGACCATCAATGGTGGCCAGGGGGTGCAGGTACGTGTTTCTCTACACTTCTTCTAGAAATTGTGTACATACAAACTCACTGAGAAAAAGGCTGTGGCGTCTAAACCTGTTTCCAAATGTAGGTCTCACAATTTAGCATTTCTTTGTTAAAATGATTCCATTTTTCAGTGACTCTGAACCCTGACTGCACAAACAGTGGGAACCTGATGTTCATATCACTAGCACAACACTAGACTTGAACTGCAATGCAGCATGAGAATAAGGCTTCTGCTCTACTGTTACAGTGCAGGAAACATCAGCACAAAGACAAAAAAGAAGCACTGAAAGTGTTACAGATACTTGTAAATGTGTTGTCCCTTGTCCTTTGAAGCACACTTCTTGATTTTACCCATGATTCGAGTAATCAGCTGGATAAGAAATACAGCTCCGAGAAGTGGGATAGCTGACAAGAGAATTTAGATTTACCTGGTTTCAGTAACAGTAAACAGTTGTTGCCTGCCTGAACCTCAGTCCAAGATGGACCCTTTTCTCATTCAAAACATTTAATGACATTCTACATTTATTTCACTCATCACATACTTTTAACAAGCTTTTCTACATTTACAAATGAAAAGCGGGTTTATTTTGGAAAGAACAAAATTTTTAAATGATTAAGAAGATTTTACAAATTTTCTTGCTTTCCACATGACTAGGAAGACAGCTTTACTTCTGTTTGGAATACCTAATGTGCTACCCTGTACTGGAATATCCTCCAGAGATAGCACAAATTTGTTAATATGCAAGAACATGACCCCTCAACTATATTTTCCAGCTATGTTTAATGTACTGTTCTATTTGTACTGTTTAATTAAGGTCCAAAAAGGCCTTCAGTTAGTGGTCACACTATCATCTTTGTTGCTTTTAAACTCAGCAATGCTTTACGCACCAGAAATTCAGTTCCCTGCACACACAGTAACAGAGCAAATAGTCATTATCGGCATATCAACTCCCTGTATGGCAAAGCAGAGGCAAAGCTCAGTCTTCCTCTCAGTGAAGAGCAGGAGAAAACAATGGGCCTTGTACTTCAACGTGCAGGTCAGACTTGATTCGTAATTTACTATTAGGTTGCAGAAGTGATGCATCTTGTAAAAAGAGGCAGTGCACAGCTTCTACTGGGAGTAGTGCCTTGTACCTAGTACAGAGGTTACATCTAAATGTGGGCTTATTGAGGAGGGTACTTAACTTATACAATATTTGACCCTCTCAATATGAGGTTTTTATTTTTAAGGAAGATATAAAACCTGAATGACTTTATATGTTTAATGTTCCTCATTCTGTTAAAGAACTTGGTATAAGCCTATAAAATGCTTTGTCAAATGCCACAGAAATTACTGCTCATAAATGTTACTGTTTATCTATATAATCTGAGTAATGGAGCAGAATTTTGTAAACAGACAAAAGTCTCCCTTCTAGATACAAATGATGCTGGTATTTTAGCAAGCACTAAGTGGTATCATACTTTTCAAGTGAAGTCAATTAAACTACCAGTCTCACTTGTGCATCTGCATCCAGTCCTCCCATGCAATTCATGAAGCTTCCCCCCACTTAGCAAGTGCTAAGTTAAATTTATATTTTTCATTCACTCTTCTAATTCTAGCACATATAGATATTTTTTTAAATAAATATGGAATATCATCACACACATCAGCAAAATTCTTATTGACAAAATTAATTATCTATGGGAGTGGATATATTCATAACTCGTCCTAAGCAGTATCAAGTGCAATACACATACATGAATTTTTGAGGGAAAGGTAGCCTTATTGATGTTTGACTGTGAATTTGGGCTAAAAGTGAAAGTAATCTCCTATTAACATATTGGTTTAAGATCTAGTGAAGGTGACTTATGAAAATTAATTTTAGTTTTTAATTGAGCATACCAGAAAGTTGCACTTGGTCTGTTATCCCGCTGGAACTGATGAAAGATTATTAGTTAAGCCATGGTAACCTGGTAGCTTGTTTTGGTCTCTCACAACATGTTCCACATCTTCTCACAGAATAACTTGCAATAAATTAAAAGCACTCTAGAGACTCAATTTGGGAAGCAGAACTTGATTGTGTAGGATACTCTTTCCCTAGTACATTTCTGGAGAAGTAGCCCTTTAGCACTGTGAAGTCTTTAACTGCAATCACATCACGTTGTAGAGAGAAGCTTCACTAAGCTTGAAACAATTTTATTATTATATGGAGGGACATCTTACCAGACTGACCTGAACTATTCCAAAAGACAAGGGTGAAGGGGTAGTACCAGCTGTGCATGCAAATAACTTGGCTGGGGGAGCTTGTTTTTATCATTTTGTATTTCACATCTGCACAGTCCCAAAGTAAATATAGTTCTGTTGTGTACAACTGACTCACAACAGAGCACGTGCATGACTTAACCTTTGTTCTAAGCCACCAAGCTATTCCATGTAGATCATGGAATTCAGCCACTCCTGTTGTGCTTTCTATGCTTTAATCACTACCCTTTTACTTCTATGCAGGCAGGTAAAAATGCAGCAAACATTGTCTACCAAGCTGAATTAATCCAGCAATTATTTCATTTGATGCTCCAAACTGCCTGCTTATGGAAACAAGCTATTACCACTTTTCACAGTGTCATTCAAGACAGGTGGATATGATTATAGGCAGCTATATGCTATCCTCTGGTCTTCAAAAGACATCAGTCTGCTATTTTATATCCAGAGTATGTAGCTCAAGAAACTCTTCTTAAAAGGGAAAATTAAGGTAATAAATAGACTAGTAACATCAGTAAGGAGAATATAGATAGCTTCTTGTAATCTGTGTTAAGTTACATCTCTTAATGAACTGTATTTTGGTATCATTTGAGCGTCTATGTAGCTGAGTCACTGGAAAGGTTTTTGGGGGTTTGTTTCTTATTTGTTCTTCAGCCACTTTGAATCTCCACCGATGCATGAAGTCCCAGAGCACCAAGGCAGCAGCGCAGACAGTTCGGCAAGCAGTTTGGGAAGCTCTATCACAGCATGTAAGAAGGTAAATTCTGTTTATGTTATATTTAAAGGCAAATATATCCCAGGTTATAGCTTTGCTTTTTAACTTTTGTCTTTATTGGGGAATAAAAAATTCAACTGATACCTAAAAAAAAATGGATACAGAAAAATTAATTCTGGGTGCTGTTATGGTATCTTGCACTTTTGTCTGCCTGGTCTATACTTGTCTGGTCCCAGAGTATATTTATTATACATATATGGGAGATAAATTCCTCCTGAACATTTCTATTTTTCTGCATTATCTGACAATATGAAATAAAAGCAGTGTATAGCGTGAATACCTTCAGGACTGCTCTTCAATAGGTGGTTTCTCGAACCCAGCCTGAAAGTTCAGAGCTTTTCTCTCAGGTCAATACAGTGGAGAGTCCTTCATGAAACAGCTTGTCTGCCTTTCCTAATGTCCGACTGAACAGGTTTCAGCAACCCAGCAGGTAGTATAGATTTGATCACTGTTAGTTTTGTTGCCTCAAAAATGAATTTATATGTAGTTATTTAATTGGGAGGATGTGCGGGGAAAAAAAGCGGTGCCTTTGTGTCTGTGTCATTAGGAGGAGTCAGGTATGACAGATTATTTTATGCATGTAGGTGATTTCAGTACAACTGAGAATACACAGGTGGAAGACCATGGATGCTTCCTTTTATTCCTCCTCCCCAGGGCCAGATTACGGCAGTACAGTCTGAGGGAAGGGGGCACTACCAGAGACCTATTGAGGAGGGCAGGCCATCTTTCATCTCTCACTTTGCAATAACCCTCAGAGCTCTACTGTCTCCCACAGGCATAATTCTAGAGCTGACAAGAAAACATTTGTTCTAACACAGAAATGTTATAAAACTTCACAGTTCATTTAGTTTTCCCATAATTCTTACTTTTTTTTCTTTTCCTTCCACTAGTAATAATAATGCTTTCCTTCTGTGGTTTGGTTTTTTTTTCAAATTAACAACAATATATATTTATATATGTAAGCAGAAAGAAAGAGAAAGATAAAACATGTAGAAGATAAAGATCTATTTTCCACATCCTGAAAACAACACTGTGGGTGTGTGGGTGAGTATTGTCTGTCTACAGAAAGCTAAAACCATTGATATAAAAAAGACCTGAATTCTGATGTGTATGCTCAGACTGGTCTTCTCTAGCTCACCTCAACATGGCTAAAATACAGTGTCAGTATTTCATTTAATCAAAGGATTTGTGTATTTGTAAAATACCTGATTTTTTTAAAAAGCTGCTGACTGTATCTTCATCTAGGTAGAAATAGGCAGAAAATCCCTTGTGTGGGACAACATCTTCGATTTTCATTTAATCTCAGAGCTGTCTATTTTGTGTAAGACTGAAGGACAGTGGCACAGCACTGAGAAGTGCCACCACTGTGTTTACAAATGCTCTCAGCTTGGGCGCCTTCAGAAGCACCACTCTTTTTTCAAGGCTAGCCTTTACCACATGATTTAGAGCTGCTTCACCTGTCTGATCCCTTACATTTAAACTTTTCATTGTAACACAAGTCAATTTTATGATTGTCGGCACACTAAAAGAAGTGATTCACTTATGCCAACATTTCTGACAAACAGCAGGATATTTTGGGCTTCTTTACAGCATTGTCATAGAATCTGTTACATTCTTTTTTTGTGTGGAAAAGGATAAAAATTTACCAAATCTAGGCCATTGCCTTCTCTTTTAGCCTCTGTTAGTTACAGTGTTTTTTATGTTAGATGTGTAATTGGTGGTGAACTGAAACACTATGGGTTTCTGCTGCAAGAGAACAGTTTGAACAGTTGACTAGCATGTTTGAATGATTATATTTGGCATGAATGGCTCCTGTCAGGAACCATATGAGATATGGCCTCTTACTACACAGATCACTCTGAACAAATGCGGCCCTTGATATCTCATCTTATTCTGTATGTCCCACTTTCATATCTTTTTTGATGAGCAGTAATTAACCAAAGCAATTAAGATGATCAGCCACGAAGACGCAGATGTTTCATTTGTGGAGCAGAGCCTTTTTAATGTTGTCTCGGTTATAGATATTTACTGTATTTTAATCTCTTATGATCTAAATCAGGGAGCAGGAAGCTGTTACACTAAACTCGTATGCAATATTTTCCTCTGGGAAAGAGTGACTTTTCTAATCTACACTCTGCTAGAGGCTGATTTAGTTCATTGATTCACAACAGACTGAGTAATGCTGACGGCTGAGTCTCTAGATGAGAGTGGAAAACTTTTTTTTAGAACCATGAATTACTGCTGATTTCACATTTAGTGCATGAAGCAAATTCATCCTGAATTATTTTCTGAGTGTGATGATCCTGCTCTGAACCAGATATACAGCAGTATAGTGTGTGCAGCTGTTACACATAAGTATGGTCAATGAATCAAGTTCTGCTTTCAGTTGTACCTCTGCAAATCAGAAGCAAGCTCGTTGAATTCAGCAAAATTGCTAACAATGTATGTCAGGGGGATTGGCCCAGAACTTGTCTCAATTAAATAAGAATGAGGAGAAGTACAAGATAGGAGGAGGAAATTTTGGTAAGTGACACCGTTTGCCTTAAAAGTGCAGGCTATATAAAAGAAGGATGCTGACTGACAGCTGAAGTAGTATAGGTTTAGGTTTCTTATCCTTGGTACAGACCAGCTCAGTATATTTTGAAAATATGCCTAAATGCAAAAATTGAAATCAGAATGTACTGGTAGAGTTCCATCTCTGAGGAATACCAGTTCTCACATTGCATTTGATTAATTAGCAATTAATTAGCCCTGTTAATTTAGGCCAGCTTCTTCAAGCTTTGATAATCTCAGTCATACATTATTTTACTACAAGGACTTAAGTATAAACATGAATATCCCTGCAAGTTTCAGTACATATGCAAAGCCCCACCTTCTACAAACACATGCATCTAGTTAACAGGGAGAATTACCTTACAAGAGTGAGATGCTGTAAGAAGTATTACATTCACTTTTACTGTATGTTTGTCTTTGACCATGATAATATTGCTGTCTGTTACCAAAGAAATAGGCCCAGAAGTTCACATGGCTTCTTTATATGCATTGTTGCACAGAAGGTGCGTGTAACCCTACTGTGATCAGCACTTCAGGGTGGCCAAAATTATCCTTCCTCCAAAGAAGTACTAATGGGAGGGTTCTGAGCAATAACATGTCTGTAATGGTCCTAACACAGAAACTTGGTGTCATGAGGTAGAGTTTAAACTCATCCAAAGTTTACCCCTTTGTTCCTGCCACCACTTACTCAAATGTCACTTTCCATCTCCTGAACACCATTCAGATACGTGTAAAACCAGACCATATGCAAGGAGACCTCTCCCACGTGTTCCCATGTGCCTTCCTTTCCCACTTGTCTTTGTCTTTTCTGAGTAATTTCCAGAGGCTTTCCAGACAACTTTGGGCCAACCTGTATTCCTTAGATGGCTGACCCCTGCCAGTTTCTGCTGTGTGGACTCAAGTATACCTGGTTTTGTTCTTCTCACCTGTCATCTTCAAATCCAAATTATTGCAAATTATTTTCTCCAACCTCCAGTAGTAAAAAAGTTATATCTATTGCACCCTTCTTCACATTTCTGGCTGCATTCTCAAGTGTATGTGGAGCACTACTTACGCACAGATGAAAGCAGAATCTGGCTCAGGGAAAATATCATCCTACTAATGTTGTTCATCTCCTTGAGGTTACTTAAAAAACACATACTGTCCAAAACTTCCATGTAGTCATTTCTACCCTTGACTTCAAAGTCTATTATGAAAAGCTGCATACAAAAATTAAATGTACTGTAAAGCCTTGCCACTTATAAACCAGTGACCCAAGCTTGGCAACTATGACCTGGCCTGACTGAAACATTTGTTCAGGAGAGTTATTTCTTCTGTTGATGCTTTACCGGTATTTAAAATTACCACGATAAAAACATGTTCTGAAAGAAACATAGAGCTACCAAGGGTCATTTAACATCCCTCAGGATGAAGTTTGAACTGTCCAGCTCATTTCATGGGTTATCATCTATACTGTACATCTGCTATGGTTTAGCTGTTCTGAAATGTTGGGTGTGCACACCAACCCCTTAGGAGACAAAGAAGAGTAGTACCAAGGATTTCTGAAGCTTGTTTCTGTATGATAGTTTCTGCTTATTCCAGCTTCTAAGAAACCATCTGAGATTTAAGGAAAAAAGATCTAAAGTGATTAAGGCTGAAGACAAATTCACTGTGATTTTTAAGGAAATGAAACAAGACTGCTTGTTACAGCAAAAGCTATTTGAGCTAAAAAGAATCGTTTCCTATGTATGCAAAATTATGTCTTAACAGATAATTAGAACTTCAACCCTTGAGGATGAGAAGTTCTAGAATCAGATGAAATCTGAAATCATATATATGTAGATATATACATGTGTGTGCATGTATGTATATGTTCAATTCTCTAGGTCTTCATAAAATCCTCAGTGGATGGTAATTTTTGGAAAAGAGGGAAAAAACTGCTCGATTCTAGATTTCAGCAGCCAGTTTGTAATGGTTCAGTATTTCTACATTTGAAAATAGTTCTTAAAAAAAAAGAGAGTTTATAACACTAACAGGAAATTGTTTCTTTGGGATATGAAATATATTATTTTCCCCACCTAGTCTCAGAGTTAGTTATGGTGGCAGAAATCTTTTTGCACTGAGACGGGAGGTTATAAAATTTATTGAGTGCAGAGTCATTCAACTGGTAAACAAGATTAGCTAGCAGCCCCCAAGAAGAGACTAGTGGGATGTGAGGCATTCATGAGCCTCTGTCGTTCTCAGAACAAAGTCTTTGGGCACAGTGCTTTTACTGAGTATTTTGTGAACCTTAAATTTGTATTCAGAAGCTTTTTGGAAAAAATCCCATATCAGGGCTGTAGTCCTGAGAAACAACCACCACAGAGGTGCAAAGCCTTTGTGGAAGGCACTGGAGAAGAGCACTGAAGCTTATGGACTGTGGTGTTCCCCATTACCTCCTCATCCATCTTCTGCTGACTTTTATTCAGAAATCAATGTAGAATAATAACAGGGACTGCAGTATTAACTATCTAACTGGCTTTCTGCCAGAAAGATAAACATTAGAGTGGGTGTTAGTCTGTGGGTGGTAATAAGCTTACTTCTGGATTGCCCCTGAGTATTAGAAGATTGCGTCAACTGGCCAGATTAGCTTTCCACGGTCATTCATCTTGCCTGAAAAATGAAGAGGCCTCACAAGTTCTCACTCTTCTTCCTAAGGAAAGGATCTAGGCTTATGGATCAAGTGTTCCTGAAGTATGACAAAGGTCTGTCAATGGAAAATATGCAATAAGGTAAAGGAATGTGGATAGATTATTTTTTTTTCCAGGTAGAGCAACAGATTTGTATTTTAAAATATCATTGTTAAAATAAAAGGTTAAAAGCCTATTTCCATGTAATGCAAAATTGTAAGAAATACATTGTAATTCTAATTGTAAGATATACGTCTATTTCAGAAACATACTTCTTAACATTGCTGCCTAGGGGAAGACAATAAGCCATATAAAATATTCTATAAGTAGTGTCATTGTTGCAGCTATTCTTTTCCTGCTGTTACCTAGTTTTAAAAATACTAAGGGTCCCTCTTTTTCATGGAAGAATATTAGTACAGAGGCAGCAAGTAAGGAATTCAGTTCAATCTAAGCATCGGACTTGCAAATCTGGCTTTGCTTCTTTGTAGTCTACAGATCTATGTAGCCCCATTTTGGTTTTGTTTGAGCAAAGCTTGTGGCATAAACTGTAGGACTGAGTCAACACAGAGATTAAACACAAAGTTTTGATCTCAGGGTACTGACTGAGCTCAGTACTCATTACAGCAGATCTTAAGCACTTTAGCTTCTCAGAAAGCAGAAAAATGTGTTTAAGAAGAAAGAGTTTCTAGCCTAGGCATTCCCAGAAATGAAGCTGCTGGCAGAATGAATAGTACTGATCTACTGTGGAGAGAGATACAGTAAATCATAAAGGCTGCAAGTTTGTGCACTTTGTGTAATTAAATAATTAGTTTTCCCAACATCTATGTTTATCACTTTAAAACAGAACAAAACCCCTAGCAATATTTTCCAATAAAAATGTTGGGTTTAGGCATCGCCTTCAAGTATCTCCAAGGGCTCTGAGTTCTGCAAGTAAACAGGCTAATATTTTAGGGTTTATATAAATTACTTGGTATAAGGTATATTAACTGGACAGGTCCAAAAGAAACAGTCTTTCCCCTCCTAAAATTTTGTAGGCAAGATTTCCTTTGATTACAGTAGAGTTCAGGCCTCCAAAGCACAGTAGGACTGAGTAAATTTTTTAATTGTTTTAACTATTTTTAACTATTTTAACAGATTCTCTGCAGTAACAGTCTACTAGAATCAACAGACTACTGGCTGCAGAATCAGAGGACACCATGCCAAATTGGCTTTCTGGAAGACAAGTCAGAAAGCAACTGTGCCTCAGTAAGTATTCACTGTAATCTCTGGGGGAAAGGTCCACTGAGAGTTTTCTGGGTAGGGTATGGGGCCAACCTCAGTACATGTTTTAAAAATGTCAGTGACTAACTGAAATTATAGCAATCTATGTACAGTTTCTGTAATTTCCAGCTTTCTGTTAAACATACAAACCAAAAATGCATACAGATTTCTATACAGAGGACGTTAGTAAAGATTACTGCAGAGGTTTCCCCACATTTGACTTTCAGACTTTGTGGCCCTCCTTATTTTTTTATGCTCATCATCTGCAACTGACAAGAGAGAAAAATAAGCCAAAGAGAAAATTATTCCAAACCATAACTTGTTAAGTGGCAGGTTGGAAAGAGCAGATGTTTAAAGGCTGCTCAATGTTCTTGAAGGCACAGAGATACAATTAAAGAGAAAACTCTTCCCATATTAGATGAGGAGAAGCTGCCAAAGAACTCAGAATTATTTTACATTTGAAATGAAATTTAAATCTCACTATTGTGGGTTATAATGTAATTACAAACAGTTTTGGTTAAGAGTGTACATGGAAAAATAGTTATGTTGCTCTACACACAATCTGCATGAAACTGGATAGAAGTACACTGCTATGATGGTAATAATTTTTCATTTGGTGGAGGACTCAGGAGTGCAGATCCTTACTTGGAATCCCATTTGATTGTTACTCCCTGGCTCCAGTGAGCAAGCAAGGGCTTTAGAAAAGAGCAGTTTATCTCAGATGAAAGGTTTCCAGCACTTCTTGTGCTGCACACAACTTAAAGACCAGCTGAAGGCTCTCATGGAGTCTGCTGGATTCCCTCAAGGACATGGAGATCTCCGCTTTAGCTGATGAACCCAGACACCTGCTGTCAAGGTGGTGATGACTGGAGGCTTTGTGTCTTGCCTAGGGGTGATGCAGCGTGCTTGGGAACAGCAGGAGTGATACACAGTGCGATTGCACAGTCAACATTAGGAATATGCTCAAAGGTTATAGGGCTCAATTCGCTGTCATGCTGTCCACTGGACTACCAGTTTCCATGAAACAGAGTGAGAAAAATACACAGCCTAAACAGAGTGTGCTAGTAAGCAACCATACAAGGTATAAGGTGAGAAACTAAAGACTCCTGTGTCTATTTTAGATGATGATGGGTGAAACAAGGAAGGAGACATTACAGAGTAATGCTCACTGGTAGTAATTTCCTGAACTCCTGAAGTTAGACAGACAGCAGTTTCCTGTTCTTTGAGCATTTTGCATGTATTCTCCCAAGCAAAAAGACCCAATATAGCTGCTTGATACACACTTTTCCTCTTGAAAAGCTCTGGTTTTATCTAGCCCCAGTCAGTCACCTTGTAAGCAAAATAAACATTACTCTTACCAGAAATACTGAAAGGACTTTTCATTACAATCCCAAAAGATTCTTAGATAAGGGTTTCAACAACTCACAGACTTAATTCTCACATGTGGTGAATACCCACAGTTTTCCCTGGTACAGTCATGCAAGGTGGTAATTTTCTTTTAATCCCTTTCTTTGTCAAAGAAAAGACAAACAAAGCAAAGCTCTTTCCTGAAGAAAACAGCTTGTGTTGCTACAGTGTGATGGTGTAGTGCTGCTTGGGGGCAGAGGGTGGGCAAAGATGCTCTGGTAAAGCTTCCAGGATACAGAACTGCCCCACTGTTCCTAATGCCAACCTAAACTACAAGACCCTGACTGACCTCCTTCTTACATGGGAGGAATATTAGGATATGCTTTGAAACAAGGTCTGACAAGTCCTCCCAATGCCTACTCCCTGCATAGTGTGCATATAGGACAGTCAGCCTTCCCTCTACAGCCTTCTGAACACAGTGACAACTCTACACACACAGAAAGTTTCACAATTTTCAAAGCAAAATGTTAGTACCTAGATGATTCTGCAATTTACAATTATCACTATAGAAGAAAACATTATATTCTATAGAATTCATTCATTCTATACAATGAATTTTGTATTAATGAGATTGAAGTGGAATGTACAATAATATATTGAGTGAAACTGAAATATCACACATAGCATTAATTTAAAAGCTAAGAAGTTAAATATTATTTTGGAATAGCGCTGTTCACATCAAGAGAAAAGGTATTTGGTGGTCTGGAAGCTTGGTTCGTGGTCTGTCCCTGGAAGTTAGGCTTTTGAGTTACTGTTAAATAATCATAAAACTGTTATGAGCTGAACTGAAGTTTTGTTCATATTCCTGATTAATTTATTCTGAGTGACAGTACAGTACAGAATTTTAATTTGAGTGCCTAAAAATTTACACAACTAATGTAAGTACAAGCAGTAAACTAGAAAACTTTGACATGAATCATCAAACTTGATATGTGGATCAGAGTGTAAGCACATAGAATTTTTTTTTTTTCAGAATTTCTCTCCCCACCTTAGATAAATGGGTGGTTCATTTGGCTGTGCACAGTCCCAGGGAACGGGGAATACTTAACCACTGTGCAGGGATTAAGCATTAGTTCAGTATCATACTCAGAACCTGCAAAGCATTTCATTCCAAGTCCTTTCCAATGACTGACACACTAAATGAGCAGAAGCTGCAGGAACGAGGGAGGAAGAAGGATATGAACACAGAATAGCTTCCCCAGCTTCTCAGTTAGCAAGCAAACCAGACTGCCCTTAGCAGAAAATATGTTTTATCTTCTCTTTCATGTGGAAGATTGCATAAATTGCTGTTGCCAATGGTACCAGAGATGTTTGAATCAAACTGCCTCTGAAAGTTGTCATTTTGTTTGCAGAAGGAAAAAGAAATCTCAAATGTACTGTATCAGTAGCGGTTGCTTTTCCCAAAGATAGCTGGTAATAATTTTAGCAATAGTGTTCAGTTTTCATTTACAAGAGTTCATGTTTAGTTGTAAGGGGTTTAATCTTACTGTAACTATAAATGCAACAAGACCATATGAACATCGTTTTCATAAATGTTATATTCATTATGTCCCATTACAGATTAGCACAGTTAGTACAAGTAAAAATAGACTCACGGCTCTCCTACATACGCTCACCAAGTATACTAACATTGATTTATTAAAACACTAAACATTTAACTCTGTTACAGCAGACTACTTTTTAAAAAGATTTTTTTTTTTTTTAATAGAACAGGCCTTTTGGTACCTGTAATAGTCCATTCAGTTCCAAAAATGTAGCCATTATGATATGAAAATAATAAATTATTTTGAAGAACAGTATTTCATATTTGCTTAAGGTGGAAATCTTCTCCTGAGCTCTGAAAATTGTTATTTCAAATTCTGGTACCCTGCCATAAATAGAAGAAATGCTCGTATGTCCATATTTAATCTGATGTTTCTGGTCATCGGCAAGGATGAACAATAGAAATCATAGGGAGAAGTAACAGCGAGATGTGGTGTCTATTCTCCATTTTTATTCCAGTTTAGTGGCATGTTGGTCAACTGTCTATGAAGAAAAGTATTATATGTATAATAAGTATGATGTGAACACGAGTTCAAAAGATGTTTTGTCTTAACTTTCTTATTCTACTTTCTGTATATACTATTTTTGTCCAATTCTCTGTGTTTATGTTTAGGAAATCAGACTGGATACACTGGGACTGAGTCCAGGACATGGGGTAACTGTCTTAGGTTGTTAGGGCTTTCTAGGGAGACTTCCCACAGAGGCTAGTCAGGAAGGGGCAGCTGAGATTTCTGTGTGCTTGAAGTGAAGGCACAGTGGGAGAGAGTGAAGGTAAATCCTAGGTAGTAGCACTGTTTTCATTTCTATGTTGGAATAAAACATCCTGCCAGTCTTTAAAACATTGCTGGGTTAAAGTGTGCCACTCTCCTTTTTTCACATGACTCTATCTGATTTTGCCATGCTGTTTCCTTAAAAAGATTAAACTCACTCAATGAACTTCTACACTGATATTATGAGTGATTTTTTTCCTCTGCAGAGAATATTTGAGTAATTGTTAAACATTAAGTTAAATTTAGTTCAATTAACAATGATACTGTTTAGCAGCAGTTTACTGCTTCATATTAGAATACATAGTTTCATGCTAATATCATAATTAGGTAGTATAAATTTTAAAGGTAGTTTAATTATGGAAGTTTTGTTTTGCTTATTTCCACTGAATGAGAACTTAATCAAAATCCACCTAAGAATAAAATACATGGATTCATGAGACATAATCATTCATAAGCTGCACATAGTGACTTATAATTAAAATATCTGTAATGTGACATTCCCCCATAGAGAGACCTCATGAAATAAATGTTGTTTCACATAAATATATGTAACTATGTCCACTCTGTTATTGCCAGCTATCTTTCTCTGAACCTAAATCAAATATTCCCCGCTTTGGACATGCTTTTAAGCAAACCTTATTTAAAAAGAAAATACTGATAGATACTTTGTCCCTAATTTCCCTCCAAAGATCTAGATTATTTAATTACCAGTGCTGAACATTTGTGGTTGGCTTATGTTAGTACAAGTTAAGAAATTTAAATTCTTCCTTAATTAGATGATTTATAGTTTCTTCTAGCATTGGACTCTCCTAAAGTGCAAAGTCTTAATCTTGCACACAGAAAAGTCATTTATGATTCTTCTTAGCAGTTCCTAAGATTTGATCTTTTTCTTTTCTGTGCAGTAAGCATCAGCATGATGAAGGCGGTATTGCCATACTGCTAAAGATGTATCTTAATTGTCTTTTAGGAATTTTTAATGAAAAGAGTTATTTAGAAAAAAAAAAATAGGATACAAAACAAAATATGGTATTATAGTCCTGCAAGACATTTGGCATTCATTTACCTTAAGATGCGTAAATCATAGCACTGAATTTTCCAGAAATTCTCTGGACTTTCAAACTCTAGACCAGTAATAGATAGAAAAGTCATTAGAAATTACATTTACACTGAAAAAAAGATTTTCTCTCAAAATGTATCCAGACTTCAATAATCTCCCCACAAAATGTGACATCATGCCCTCTCCATCCTCACATGAACATCTTGTCC